TTGTCTATACAAATTGCAACTCCAATTGGTGTTGCCTTCTTTCTTTTTTATTCTTTTCATTCTGTTAGTGTACTGTCATCAATATGCTTAACTTTGTTTACCTCCATATTTATTTCTTTCATTTTTTAAGGTTTATAATTACATCATTTCTCTTTTCTACCCCCTAACCATCCCATATACCCCTCTTGCCCTTTTGCAAATTCCTGACCTCCTTTACATTACTTGTTACATAGATAATGTGTACATGTATACGTGCAGCTTTATTTCTTAAACATAATGTAATGTGATACCTTTCCATGTCAGTATATAGAAAAAATTCTTCTTTTAAATAGCTATATCCCGTTGCATTTTTGAAATTGTGCAGCTTCATTATAAAGATGTGGCAGGCATGATTTTTAAAAGATTTATTTATTTATTTTATGTGAGTACACTGTAGCTGTCTTCAGACACACCAGAAAAGGGCATAGGATCCCATTACAGATGGTTGTGAGCCACCGTGTGGTTCCTGGGAATTGAACTCAGGACCTCCAAAAAAAGCAGCCAGTGCTCTTAACTGCCAAGCCACCTCACCATCCCCGTGGTAGATAATTTTATCAGATGATTGGACCTGTTTTCTACTTATTTTAAACTGGGCTAGAAATAACTTATTTTGAAACTAAAATTGTCATCTTCATTAAAATACTGTAACTATTTTATTGCCAATGAGCACAGCATCATAATCCATTTATAACATATTAAAAGGATACACAAAAAGGAGCAATATGGCTTACATGTGCTGATGAATTAAAAGGACTTCAGATTTTCCTTGTAATGAATGAGAGATATGAGAAGCTACAGTGTGTGAGTGTGTGAGTGTGTGAGTGTGTGAGTGTGTGTGTGCTAATTAATCTAATCAATTTTAGATTAATATTGCCTCTCAAGCCTGAACTGTCTTAGAGAGTCCTCCAAATTATGTCTTGAGAATTTTACATTTAGTTAAATACTGTATAAGTTCACTCACAGATGAAATTATTTTCTTTTCAATTCATCCTATTGACGATATAGGGTAATTAAGTTTCCAAAATCAGATGAAATTCTACTCTCAGAGTGGTTAGTTGTCACCGTTATGCCCTGTACTTAATTTATAGCCAGTAATGCAGGTATATGTCATTGAGTGTAATTATGGTCTTTCTAAAGCTATTGAGAAAAAAATATGGTAAATTTCAATGCTATCAATATAATCATCTAAATTTCTGCTTGTGGGTATTGGGGCTAGTGCCACATATTGAAATGATGGTAGTGTAGATACATCAGACTAAAAACCATATGTCATGAAGGTTAATTTTGCTTTTGTCTTTTTTTCTTTTAAAAAGGATTATTAGGAAATTTTTATCGGGCTGGTGAGATGAGTCAGTGGTTAAGAACACTGACTGCTCTTCCGGAGGTCATGAGTTCAAATCCCAAGAACCACATGGTGGCTTACAACCATCTACCATGAGATCTGATGCCCTCTTATGGGTATCTGAAGACAGCAACAATGTACTTATAATAAATAAATGTAAAAAAAAGAAAATTTTTATCATATTTCATTTCTATTGGTCAGTGTTCACTGAAATACCAGAAAAATCTGTCTAATTGAACTATTGAATTAAACTAATGAATTAGTTTCATTCAAACTGCTTTCATTAAGCTATGCTGGCACTGGAGTAATATCAGAGCAACAAAACATGGAACATTCCAGTGAGACTGATACCGACCCCAGTTCCCATCCCACACTGGGTTCTCTCTCCAAGAACCATGAGAAGGTATTTATGGTTCCCTATAAAGAGCATCATACTTCTGCTCAGCTACGGCTTAACTTTTGGCCATGGTGTGGTGACTTAGACATTTCTTCCTTTGTGGATGACTGACTCCCTTCTGGTAGCTCTAAGTCAAATCTAAGTGAGACAGATTCAAGACTTCTGAGCACACAGTTATGTTCTATGTCATTTGTAATACCGTCTTACTTTTCTGTCACTATGTTCTTTTGCTATGATTCTCATCATAACATGTCTTATTGCACAAGAAGAAAACAGCATATGAATACTCAACAGTATCGGATGCATAGTAAGTTATCAGGAACCAAAGGTGAATGCTCTACTGAAGTCAAGGCACGCCTCTAGTTTCTTCCTGTTATTTGGGCAGTTGCAAGCTGACACCGAGTTGGACCTTGCAGTCAGACTGCTGTCAGTCTCGGCTCTTGTTCTTACCTGCCTCAAGTGAAACAATGCTAATCATCTGATAGAGTTCCCATGGGAATGAATAGAGAGAGAGAAAAGCTGCCCAGAATGTCAGACCTACTAGTAAGTTGGACATGACTCTGGGTAGTGTCAGTTGCCACTGTATCTGTTGGCTGGATATTGGGTTAACTTTTTAAACTAAATTCATTTAACACTGTTTTTTCAGAGTCCTGGGTAAGATAAAAATGTAGTCTTATGTCCTAAATTTTTGAATTCTGGTGAATCTAACAGACGACCCAAGTTCCTAAAATCTTAAAATGGCTTCTCTTATCACAATATGTTCTACAGGGTTGTTTGTATAGAATGGTAAACTTTGTTCTGAAACGGAATAATGTTCTGAACAGTTTGACTTATCTACAGATTTCCTTGGCAGCTAATTTTAACTGGTAATGTTGGCACACTGGCACACTTCCTCTCCCCAGTGGTTTGTATGCAGAATGCCATTGAGGAGAGTCAACAGTTCTGTGTGTCATCTACAGAAGTGTGGGTGAGAGGCAGTGGCGTGGATAAATTATGGCAGCTGCAATTTTCCTTGCTGTCAAAACCCTGTTTGCATATCATGTCCTTCTCTTCATTTATATGGCAGAAAGTGAAAACTGATATTTCGAAGTATCTCTTCCACTCATTCATTTGAAACTTCCATTAAGGTTTTAAATAATATATTTCTTTGAGGTTAATCAACATTTTAATGTTTCTATTTCTGTTGGACAAGAAGACTGTGTACTGTGAGGTGTGGCACATCATGATTGGATCAGTTAGTGATCAGTCTCTGCCAGAGATTCAGAGCTGTGGCAGCCTCCCCAGGAACTTGGATTATAATTCAATGATGCAAGCAGGACTTGTACAATTAAGTATTTTCTTGTTATTAAGCATCTTAGGGAGAAGACTGAGGGGAGGAAGTTTGTGTTAGTGTGGTGAAGAAATATGGTGAAATGTTTTTATCATGCTTAAAAAACCAACAATCGTGGAAGTACAATATCGTGATTGCTCTGATATAAACTACATCTTTACTTAGGGTTAAGATGGAAGGTGCTACACTTTGCTGTTACCACTTTGAGTCATAAAAAATTGCCCATTGCATTTGGAGGGAACCTCAGAATGTCTGCTTCATTTATTTTCAAATCAGAAAACAAGTGCAAATTGATTGCACACCTCCACAATAATAACTGGTAAATCTGGATTTTTTTTTTTAAGGTCAGAGGATTTTTTTTTCTTGGTTGTTTGGTTTTAGAGACAAGGTCTGTCTTTGCAGCCCATGCTAGCATTGAACTCAGGCTCTCTCTCTTGGGTGCTGAAATAGGCATGTGCACCTGAGTGGTGGTTCTTTTAAAGTGGCTGTGACTTTCATAAGTCAAAAGACAAAGGTAGATAACAGAAATCACCAAGTCTTAGGAGGCATGGGACCACCTTCTCTCAGATTTCAATAGAGTTTACAAAAGAGCAGTATGGTAGAGTATCTGGGACACTTAGTTTGTAGTTTCCTTTTTGAGATTTGGAGATTTTCAGAGGTCTAACAAATACATAAAAATTTCCTTCAATTATATATTTTGGAATCTTTGTCCATCCAATCATATCCCTTCCATTAAACCACAAGATCTGAAAAAAAAATCCCAGATATACTCTCTAGTCCATCATCTTTGTTTAACCAATTGAAATACCGAGGCCTAGAAACAAATGAGAATTCAATTTAGACACAAATTACAGGAGGCAAACGAGTGCAGAAGTCAAATACATCATTGAGTTCGTAAAATTAAACATCAGATTTCCCAAAACGGACTGATAAAACAGATTTTTTTTCTCTTTTCAACGACATGGAATTTCACACTATACACACCACCTAAAATCGAATCAATAATTGCATATTAGTGGGGGACTATGATCATAAAATGGACCTCTGACAGTACTAGCTCACCTTTTTTTCCCTGTGAAATATGAAACGCTATTTAGATTTGTCCACCTGTTCCTAAGAAGTTGCCACCCAAGATTAAAAAGTCCTATGATATGCAAGCCCAGTAAGTCCTTAATAGAGGTCAGTAATCTTCCTCTGGGCTGAAGCCATCGCTTTTGCTTACCCACATACCTAGGATGCTGGGGCGGCTCCTTCAAGTCACTGGGTATGAGGTTATAAATACTCTCCGAAGTGCAGGAGGGGTCCATGGCCACCAAGGAATTCCTTAACAGCTACTCAACTTTTGACTCACTTTCCCACTGTCTCTACTCTTTCTCTCACCGTCGTTTCCTTTTCTTACTCTCTTAACAAGGAACTAAAATCTCTCCTTCGTGTAATTTCCCTTTGACCCTTTTGTAACAGCCCCTTTTCAGGAAGAAAAGAATTCTCCTTCTGGGACTGCTTAGCGTGTTGACCGCGTGGTTGCTAAGGAAACAGTTGCTAGGAGACGGGGCAGTTGCGAACTGGCTTTTTCTGATTCCTTTTTGGTAACCTCTTCTGTCTGAGAAAAACGTAAGGATAAAGACGGTCCTGCGTCTTTGGAAAAGATGACATGAAAACAATGCCCCAGCCCGCACCCAAACATTTGCTTTTTTCCTTGGTGCAAATGAAAGAAAAATTCTACAATAGGCAGCAAAGGCAGATGCGCAGGCCTCACACAATAGTCTCCAACAAGCAGGCGGCGTCCCTGCGGGGGGTGGAGCGACCGACGGGGAAGGGGAGGAGCCGCGGGGCAATGGGCGGGGCGTCTGGGTTACGTGGCTGGCCTAGTGGCGCGGCGCGCAGTCGGCGCAGGCGCAGAAGCAGCAGCTTTGGGGTGGGCTTGCCGGCGGAGGCTACCAAGGCTGTGCCGAAGTCGGTTCCCTTTCCCTTTCTCTCCCTACTCTTCTCTGGGTGGTTCTCTTGGTGAGTTAATGGAGGAGGAATGGAAGGTCAGCGAAGGTTGTTACCCTAGCATCCCTCCTTCCGCCGCGCCCCATCAGGCCCCGCTTCGCCATCCACCTGTCGCACCGGACCCGGTGGCGCGCCCTGCCCTCGGCTGTCTCCACGGCGCTTGCGCGAGCGCTAGCCTGCGCCATGAGGACCAGTCTTTGGAAGTGGGCCTCGTATTTTGCCCAGGTTTCAGCCCTTGACCTCTTTTTGACATGTATTTTTTTTTCTCTCTCTCCGAGAAGTGCTTTTATTTCGTTTTGAGCTGTTTGATCTTCCGTTCATGCGTATGCACTTGTGACTGCACGCTCATTTGAAAGCCTTGAACCCTAGTCACATTCATTGGCCCTGTGATTTCAGGGAGGTGAGGATGGGGGAGCAATCCATGGGTCTGAATCCACTTGGCAGTTGTCCAGCCAGGAAGTCAAATGCATCAGTTCTGCAATTCTCATTGGCTGGTGGATGGGTTAAATGGCCTGGTGGCTTAGTGATCTTTTTAGTTCTCACTTCAAAGGCTTGGCTCAATGCAAATTGTGATTGGAGGCTTTTGTTAAATTTTATTCGATAAGAATAAAGAAGCAATTTAGCTTCCTGTTTTTCGGTTTGATAGAATTTATCTTTTTTTTTTTTCTGGGCAGCCCACAGTTCAGATGAATAATCTTTGGGGAGGGGGTGGGTGATTCCTTATTACACAGCAGATTGAGTTTCTTTAAAAACACTTCATATAGATTTATGTGTGGACAAGGAGCACCCATTTTTGTTCTTGGAAAAAAAAATCTCTCTGCTTCTTTTTACTTAACATGTAAAGAGAAAAACTTCCTTTTTGGGTCTGTGCTCCTGTGCATGTTAACCTATGAATTGTGAATTCATAGAATGCAACAGTGTTAACTAACTTGATAGCCGTTAGCCAAGGCATATACCTTCCTGACCTTGGGACAGAACCCAAGGATTCAGGTATTTGAGGCCAGTGGTCAGAACCAGATTGACACCCCAAGACGTGTTCTAATTAGAAGCAATTGATATGTGAGAAAGGGTGTAAGAATGCAGTTTTTTTTTTTTTTTCGAGACAGGGTTTCTCTGTGTAGTTCTGACTTTTCTGGAACTCACTCTGTAGACTAGGCTGGCCTCGAACTCAGAAATCCACCTGCCTCTGCCTCCCAAGTGCTGGGATTAAAGGCGTGTGCCACCACCGCCCGGCTAAAAATTCAGCTTTCAATAAAGGGAAATGACATAAAACTAACCTACATTATTTATGGATTCTATATGTCAGTGTCTCATTTGTTCAAGTTTATTCACAATTCTTCAGTATTTGGCCACACATTATTAGTCATCTATGGACGTAGGCATGGCAGTGAAAATTCTGAAGTGTAGTAAGTGCGTGTTCTCAGCTGAAGCGAGGCGAGCTGTGTTTTGTCTTGTTTGGTGTTTCAGTAACATATATCTTTTTATATTCTGCAAAACATGCCACATGTGTTGCATTCTTATGGTTTCAGTGGCCGCTTAAAGTGATTCCTAAACCGAGTACTCAGGTGCTCTGTAGTAGTCCAAAGTATGAAGAGACTGGCGTGTTTTTACAGAACAGCAGGTATGTTAAGATGAGCTTCATTCAGGTATGAGTTAGAGTGCTGCTGGCTCTGTTCATATTAATGAGCAGTGTACAAATGTATATGCATATACACATAGAGTAAGGCTAATATATTCATTCATTGGAAAAAAAAAAAGTAGTGTAACTAAGGGCTCATGGGAACCCAACCCAGCATCTCACTTAGGAAATCACAGTGGCCATGCTCACAAGTTCAGGGATGATGGGAGTGTTATAGACCCTAACTATACATGAATGAGAAGCATCGTAGTGAAGACTCAGATTACAGGTAAATGGTCAGCAGTGGAGAATTAGTTCATCTTCTGTCTTTCAATTAGCTCAACTAAGACTTGGGCAGAGAGGCTCCAAACTTATTTTTATGGCTGAATACTACAACCCAAAATCTGGTATGTAGTTTAAAACGGAATTAGAAAGGATACTCTTTTATTTGCAACTTGTCATAGCACTTGCCTGCCTTTTGTTAGTCTAATGAGACCATTTACTGTGAAATGATACGTATGCAGAATTTATAAGTTGAACAAAAATAGTCTTGTTTTTACCTTGATCTGCCAGTGTTGTTTGGGAAGAGGAAATGAAGTAACATTTAAAATGAGAATATAGGGTGGTGAGCCCAAGGAAGACTGGAGAAAGTAAGGAAAGTTAATATGTGTAGTGTTTGCTTTTCCACTGTCTGCTCTTTATGGAATGGATAGTAAGTAACTCATGTAAAAAGTTGAATCAAACATGAAAGATTCATTGTCTATGAAGAACAAGCCAGCTACTCAGGTAACAGCACATATTGTATGTGTGTGTGCACTGTGAGTTGTTTCATGCATGTGTGTACCTAAGAGTATTCCTATACATGTACATAAACAAAAGATTAATTATGTTGTTTTGAGGTGTCCTTAAAAGCAAGTAGTGCTAACACACACTACCGGAGTACAATTTTGTGAATTGCTGAGTGATTAAAGTTAAAATTTTTCTCTAGGTTTTGCTTTGCTTCAGAGAATGTATCAGACTGCATGGCAAAATTTTTTGTAATTTGGGGTAAGCATCACTGTTTTCTCTAAAATTTATACATGATATGCTTGGTCTTGTCCCTGCATAATTTGGTTTCATCTGTAGATTCTTTGATATTTATCATTGACTGGGAATTGTTAGTATTAATATTTTTATTATACTTACAAGAATATACACTTTGAATTTATCATGGGTAAATTGTGGGTAGCAGGGGCTTACAGGCTTTTCAGAGTGGTTTAGATGGACATGACAATCTGAAAGAACAGTTTAGGTACTCATCTCACTGCATAGCTTTTAGTTCACTGATCTGCCCTTAGCATTAAACATACAGTTAAGTAATTAAAGTCAGATGGCATAATGAAAGATATTGCAATTGCTACCGTTTGGTTATGTTGTCATTTTTATTTAAAGTATTTTTTATGTCTGAGTGTTTTGCTCACATGTGTATCTGCACATCATGTGCCTGTCTGGTTCCCATAGAGGTTAGAAGAGGTGTCAGATTCCCCCAAACTAGAGTTTATAGATGGTTGTGACTGCTGTGTGGACACTAAGTCCAATCCCAGTCCTCTGCAAGAGCAAGTGCTCTTAGCTTCTGAGCCATCTCCAGCACTCATTATGTTGTATTTTATTGCCTGATGATAAAAATAACATTTTTTATACCAAAATCCATTTGTATAATAAATTTTGCAAGATAAAGCCCAACATTTTAATCATTCAATAATAGATTTTGGAAGCATGAAATTTTTTCCTTGTCATTTACAAATTTCAAGTGCCATTTTGAAATATTTATGTATGAAATTTTAGGATGCTGTGTGAAGTTATGATTAACTTGAAATTCTTTCTCATTGTAGACCCTATTTTTTGCAAAGATCGACTTTGCCTCAGACTCAGTACACTCTTCATCTGTGGTTCCTGTTATATTGTGTTTCCACTTCAGTGAGTTAAGCATAGCACCATACAAAGCCAAATAAGGAAATGAAGTTTTTCTCTTGACAGGGCAACTTACTTGTAAGTAAAATTCAGAGTTAGATTTTTAAAAATGGTCTAAAGATTTTATTGTAAAACAGAGTAGTTTATTGTAAGATGGAGTAGTATCAAAAGCAGTAAACTATTGGAAAATTTTTATGATTAAATATACTACTTAATTTTTGATATAGTTTAGTTGCATACTAATTCTGTCAGAGAGCATGTAGAAAGCCTCCCTCTGTTCCTATAAAGCTACATCAGTCAATTTAAGAAATGTTGCAAGTTATTAAATTGAATTTTATTATGACACAATACTTGATACCTGGCATGTTTTGTTTTAAGAATGAGTACATTTCCAAAGACAGGGGTTGGATCTATATTGGAAATGGTAGATCATCTTAAGATGCCAAAACAGTTTCCTTTCATCGTTGAGTACCTTTATGGGTTTCTTGGCTGTTTCTCTAAGTCTAGAATTTAAGTTTGACCACTAATGATGCTGTAGGAACATAAACAAGTGGAGACGTTCCTGATTAATCTTTATTAATTTTTGTACACTGTCCATTCCACTATGGCCTTTTAAGGCGTGCACTTTGACAATATGTGAACAGAGCCCTCAGCAGTGTGCAGGGTCAAGGCTCACTTTGACTCAGTGTAGAACCCGTGTCTTATGAGCATGTCTGGTCATGTAATCTAACTCTCTGTTGTGGATTTTATGAGAAATTAATAATTAATGACAGTCAACTTATATGATCATAAAGATAAATTGAATATTAAGACTGCAGTTCAGCTTTTGTGAATTACAAATAAGTATTAATATGAATCCACATACTCTCTGTGGTTATAATCGTGAATCAGTATTTTCCACAGTATTTTTTACAAGGAAAAGGAATACTAATAGGACTTACAGTGTTTTTAAAAAGACTTTGTGGTAAGGTATTTTCTGAATAATATTTCTGCTGCTAATATTTGCTCTTTCTAATACTCAGTCATAGACCTTTTTTTTTTTAAAAAAAAGTTTATGCTATTGGTGTCTTGAAGTTTGAAAAGATATTAACAAATACGTTTTTTTTTCTCAAAGAACTAAACAGACATGACAGTAGAAGAGGTATTTGGAGGGAAGAGATGGGAGAAGAGGGGGTGGGAGGGAGTGGGGACAGGATAATCAGAACTTAATAAAAGCAGGATGGAAATGACACGGTGAGGCCCATTGATTGTATAATTAATATGCCATAATTATAATAGTTTATTAAGAAGAATAGTGTACAGTATTTATTATAACACTTTTTAAGTGTCCCATGAATTTGAAGTAATTTGAACATCTGTGCATTGAGTGCATGTATATATTCAGTTCTATCAGGAGTTAGCAGTTGTTGAAAAAGTAACCATGTGCCTTTTTTATGTCTAGAAAAGGGCTAAAGCCAATCCCTAGGTTGGCCTGGTCACAAAAATGAAGAGAATGCTGAACTTTACCAGATGTCACCATCTGAGGCAGATAACCCAGAAGTGTTTTTCTGGTGCACCGGTTAAAGTGCAGACCCCCACACAGCTTCCACGAGCATTTGCACGTGCACAATCAGGGAAGTTATGGCACTCCACCCACTCTCTTGTTGGAGACAAAAATATTGTCCTGATGGGGCCTCCTGGTGCTGGAAAAACAACAGTCGGCAGAATATTAGGTGACAAACTCAGCTGTTGTGTCATCGATGTGAATGGTGATGTCCTTGAGAAAACCTGGAATATGAGCGTGTCTGAAAAATTGCGGGATGTTGGTAATGAGCGATTTTTAGAAGAGGAAGGAAAAGCAGTGTTAAACTTGTCTGCATCTGGAAGTGTGATTTCCCTCAGCGGGTCCAATCCCATGCATGATGCTAGTATGTGGCATCTGAAGAAAAATGGAATTGTTGTGTACCTGGATGTGCCTCTAACAGATATAATTAGTCGTCTGAAATCAATGAGAATTGATAGGATTGTGGGCCAGAACACTGGAGCATCTCTGAGAGACTTGTTGAAGCATGGAAGACTGTACTATAAGAAGTGGTACGATGCCCGAGTCTTTTGTGAGAGTGGATCTTCAGCCGAGGAGGTTGCGGACAAAGTGCTTGATGTGGTTAAAAGATACCAAGACGTGAATTCAGAGACCTTCATTTCAACAAGGCATGTTTGTCTTAAAGACCATGACAAGAAGTTCCCACCAAAATACTTCAGTGAAGCTGTAGTTGAGGGATTGGCTTCTGATGGTGGTCTCTTTGTTCCTGAGAAGGAGTTTCCAAAGCTGAGCCGCGGGGAGTGGAATAACCTGATAGGAGCAACCTATATAGAAAGAGCACAGGTACTCTTGGAAAGGTGCATTCACCCTGCGGACATACCTGCTGCCAAGTTAGGAGAAATGATTGAAACTGCTTATGGGGAAAACTTTGCCTGCTCCAAAGTTGCCCCTGTCCGGCACCTTTCTGGCAATCAGTTCATCCTGGAGTTGTTCTATGGCCCAACAGGGTCCTTTAAAGATTTGTCTTTACAGCTTATGCCTCATATTTTTGCCTACTGTATCCCACCAGGTTGCAATTATGTGATACTTGTAGCTACTTCAGGAGACACTGGAAGTGCAGTCTTAAATGGGTTTAGCCATCTTAATAGAAATGATAAGGAAAGAATAGCTGTGGTCACATTTTTTCCAGAGAATGGAGTTAGTGATTTCCAGAAAGCAGAGATAGTTGGCAATCAGAGAGAAAATGGATGGGCAGTAGGTGTCAGGTCAGATTTTGATTTTTGCCAGACAGCTATAAGAAAAATATTTAATGATTCCGATTTTACTGGCTTCCTGACTGTGGAATACGGAGCAATCTTAAGTTCAGCTAATTCTATTAATTGGGCTCGACTACTTCCACAGGTAGTTTATCATGCCTCTGCATACCTTGAGCTTGTTAGCCAAGGGTTTATTTCTTTTGGAAGCCCAGTAGATGTCTGTATTCCCACAGGAAATTTTGGAAACATATTAGCTGCAGTGTATGCCAAGATGATGGGGATTCCTATTCGAAAATTTATCTGTGCCTCTAATCAGAACCACGTTTTGACTGATTTCATAAAAACTGGGCACTATGATCTAAGGAATAGGAAATTAGCACAGACCTTTTCACCATCAATAGATATTCTCAAGTCTTCAAACCTGGAGCGACATTTATACTTGATGACTAACAAAGACGGACAGTTAATGGTGAATTTATACAATCAGTTAGAGAGTCAGCTTCACTTCCAGATTGAGAAGATGCTAGTGGAGAAGCTGCAGCAGGATTTTGTTGCTGACTGGTGTTCTGAGGGAGAATGCCTAGCAGCCATCAGCACCACCTACAACGCATCGGGCTATATTTTGGATCCACACACTGCTGTTGCAAAAGTGGTTGCAGACAAGATGCAAGACAAAAGCTGTCCAGTGCTGATTGCAGCCACAGCTCACTACTCCAAGTTTGCCCCTGCCATCATGCAGGCACTGAGGATTAAAGAGCTCAACCAGACCTCATCAAGCCAGCTTTACTTACTGAGCTCGTACAATGCCTTACCACCTCCTCATGAGGCTCTATTAGAGAGAATGAAGCAGAAGGAGAAGATGGATTACCAGGTTTGTGTAGCTGACGTGGATGTCCTGAAGAGTCATGTAGAAAAACTCATCCAAAATTGGTTCGTAAGGAAGTCTGAGTAGGGTTTTTTTTTTTTTCTTGGTAAGGAGCAATAATAAATCTCAAAAGTCGATTTGGATGACCTACCATAGCATTTTGTTTTGTGTAAATGTTTTATGTGTGCATCTGATCTCTGGAGCTGAGTATTACACCTGCTGTGTACCTCCACAGGTCCTCCAGAAGAGACAGAAGCCAGCATAGTACCTGGAACCCTGGGCTATCATGCTTTATTCTCTGCTCGTGTTGGGTATGGCAGTTTCGCCTTCATTCCCACTTCTGAGTGGAACAAAATATCTGGTATTTAGCATGGCATTTAAAAATACTTAAACACAGTTAGATACTGAATCTATAGCCATTTAGTGTTTATTGAACATTTTGCTGCTTGAGGTATTTAGCTAACATAGAGGAAATAGTAAGCTCACTAGGATTAGAGTCATCGTTTTCAACCCCGTTCAAATTCCAGTTTGGACAATAGTTGCTGACATGTACCATACACTATCCAGTTAGAGAGTTGGTGGACTGCTCTTTGAATGTCTGTAGTTAGTGCTGGTAAAGTTTGAAAATCAGGCCAACATGTGACTCTAGGATGTAGCAGTTGACAGACCTGTGGAGTAGTGGATTTGGAAACAAAGTCACCTACTTCAGGAAGATGATCCAAGATTAGTAATGTTTAAGCTGCTTTAATAAAAGTTCAGTTACAGACAGCAGCTCTTCTGTATTATTTGTAGTCTGTTCCTATTTGTCTCACTTTCAACAAACATTTTGGGGTACCTACATCCACACAAATTGATACAAATGCTTCATTTCCAGTGCTGTATAGTGACTGTGATCTTAACCGTGGTTTGTGTGTTTCCTGCGTATTTACTTTCTGGATTGAAGGATGTGACTGAATGAAGAAGTGCAGTGGGCTGCTCCCCACCACAAGATGGCATTCCCACAGCATTTGCTATGACAGTCTGCTTCTGGTTACCTTACAGAGAAATGTTCAAAATTGAAATGATGAAAACAGTTAATAGTTTTGATGGGCAAGAAGCAATTTGTTGTACAAGTTTTAAATTAAACCAATTACATGTTAATATCAGCTCTCTGGCTTTGCTTCTAAAATGTAGTTCTAAAGCCTATAATGGAGGCTGGGAATGTTCCTCTACAGTGCACAAAACCCTAGGTTCCATCCTTAGCACCTAGGAAGGTAAGAGGCAGTAGTTAAAGGTCATGTTTAGCCACAGTTTGAGGGCAGCCTGGGATACATGAGATCCTGGTTTTTTTGTTTGTTTGTTTGTTTGTTTTTTGTTTTTTTGTTTTTTTTTTTTTAAAAAAGGAATAGAAGGAAAAGAGAAAGATACTTGAAGCCCTTTGTTAATGGAGACTCAAGGCTCTATGTTTGTGTACGCATTCTATCATTTCAGAATGTTTGTTTCAGTAGATATACTTAGAAAATTATCTGTAAAAAGAAAAAAAATATTCTAATGTTACTGTATGTATATGTGATAATCTCCTTTAAAAATGATGGGATAATGTTGAGCCTTGATTTTTGGATTTAGCAACTAATGGAAGAGCGCATGAAGTCCAAGTGATATATAACACAAAGTAATTACTGCAAAACAGTGTGGAGATACATGATGCAGCTGGTAGGGTGGAGTTTAACAGCAAAAGGAATAAGGTGTGGTGGTACTTACCTGAGCTCTCATCACCTGGGAAGGTGAGGCAGGAGGATTGTGAGCTTGAGACCAGTCTGTGCTACATAGGGTACTCTGTCTCTAAATGAATAAGTGAGCTAACAAAAAGGAGGTACTGCTATAAAATAACTAGGGTTCCATAGCGGATGTAGGTCCTGAGGGACAGCTTTTGGAAGTCAAGCAGTAGAGAGAGAAGACACTGTGTCTGACTGCTTCGCTCATCATTATATGATTATTCTCGCACTATCTAGATGGTTACCTCATGTCTTTACATAGCCTTTGGATCCCCATCACCCTCAGATCCTCTTTTTTTGTTTGTTTCTTTTGAGACAGGGTTTCTGTGTGTAGCCCTGGCTGTCCTGGAACTCACTTTGTCGACCAGGCTGGCCTCAAACTCACATTGATCCACCTGCCTGTGCCTCCCAAGTGCTGGGATTAAAGGCATGCACCACCACACTCAGCTTCAGCTCACTCTTGTTAAAAGGAGAGATGCCCACTCTCCTCCCATGTGACTTAGTAGTCCTCCTTTCAAGGGCTAGTGTCCAGGTGAGCCTTGTGTCCAGTTTCCCTCAACTCTGTTAACACACTTCATTCTGATAGCTTGCTTCCTTCCTCTCTTGTTCCTTCAATGTCTTCAAGGGAGCCTGCCTTCCTGTGGCATTTAGATGCTCTTTACATAGTTTAGCATTCATAACAAAACCTCTGCAAGCACCCACACTTCTACCTTCTGTAGTTCTCTATGCTCTAACCAAGACATAGTGCTACAAAGGCTGTAGAATTGATTCCACCTTGTCTCCACTGTACAGTGAGTGTAGATGGGTAGTAAATACTGAGGTGCTTGAGTCTCTGGAGTAAGAGCTGAGTACTACGGACGTTCTCACCTCTGGCACCTTAAGAGACAAGAAGTAGCTATCCCCAATTCCATGTCTAAAGTCGGTTCCTTTTTTTTTTCCTTTAATACAGTTTTCCTTTGTTTAGTTTACCACCTTGCTTTGCTTTTAGTTGTTAGCTGTCTTTAATTTGTGAATCTAGGGGCTGGAGAAATGGCTCAGCTGTCAAGTGCCCTGGTTACTCTTCCAAAGGATCCAGGTTTGATTACCAGCACCCACATGGCAGCTTACAAAATCTGCACCTCCAGTTCCTGGGGATAGAGTGCTCTCTTCTGGCTAATGCATGTACTAGGCATGTGCACTGTGCATAGATATACATACAGGCAAAACACAAAATATTTAAAATAAATGTTCTAGAGGACATGATGACATACATGGGAACATGAGATCCAAATCTTAAAATTTAAGTGAAAGTTAAATAGGCAAATAGAGGCTGGAAGGAATTTGACACAGAGTATGGTATGTAGTGTTTAGTTTAGTTTATCTGAAATAAAGGGTATCTGGAGATGAAGCTAGGAAGTCAGGCAAGATCTATAGGTTTAAACATTTCTGAGAGGTATATGATATGACTGAGCTTTTTTGTTTTTGTTTTTTGTTTGTTTGTTTGTTTGTTTTTGTGGAGTGTGAGTGTTTTGCTTATATCCTTGCAGGTCAGAAGAGAGCATCAGATTCTTTAGAAGTGAAGTTATGGAGAGCTGTGAGCTACCTTGTGGATGCTGGGAATAGAACTTGGGCCCTCTACAAGAACAAGTGCTCATAGTTACCAAACTATCTCCAGATCCCTCCAATTTTTTTTTTTAAGAGAGAGATCATGTTGGCAACTGGGTGGAGGTAGAGAAATTAAAACTTACAGATCCAGAGCCATTAGAAGGCTAGAGCCTGGAGCGAAGCACACATCCTCTCTTCTCTGCCTCTCTCCTCTTTCCATATGTTATCCTGTCCTCCCAGACCTCGTCACCTGGCACCTGATTTCTGATTCCATACAGGTGGAATCACTTTTCTAGAGTTGCCATGTTCCAAAAGCACAAGTAGAACTATGAGGCTACACCACCATAGCAATCTCCCTGGAAGACACCGAATGTTCCAGAACATCACTTCCACTGTATTGTATGCTTAAAGCAGGTGGCAAGTCCAGTTAGATTCAAGTTGTAGAGAAATAAGTTGCATTTCCTTATGGCTAGAGTAGCAAAGTCATACAGTAGAAGAATGTGGACTTGGAGTCACCCGTTGGGGCCACATTATACACTCTACCAGTTATAATACATGGTCATTTCAAGTGGCAATCACATCAGGAAGATAGTTTCTTGTTCATAATTTGAGAATTCTATCACTAATAATGTATAGACAGTGATGAATCCTGCACTTCATGTGGTGTTTTATCATCTGGCCTGTCTTGTTTTAAACAAAATTCTGTCTCTTCTTGGTGAAAACATGCTGGGCTTACGTTCAGAATATACATGAGTTCATGCCATTTAATAACCTCTCTTTCAAACTTCACCAGATGGGTTCTATTGGCAAAGCCTTTGCTATACAAGATGAGGTCCTGAGTTTATTTCCAGAACCTGTGTTTAAAATGCCAGACATGGTGATGCATGCTTATAATCCCAGTACTGGGTGCAGAGACAGATGAATCCCAGGGGAACGGGGGCTTGCTGGACTGCCAGCCTAGTCTACTGGGTGAGCTTCTGATCAGTAAGAGACTCTACCAAACAAACCAAGGTAGACTACATCTAAGGAAAGAAACCTGAGGCTGACCTCCCCTTCATACAGCATACCCACCCCCACACATAAACACACATATACACAGTCAAATGAATAGGATTGTCCAAATCTGTCAATAATTATGAGGACGATTTTAAATAGCTCATAGATATCCATCAATACTTAATCCCTCATCTACTGTTTAAATCCACTTATATCACTTCGGTCATTTATTCATGGCAAATTTGTTGAAGTGGAATTTTAAAGAGTGTGGACATTTAAAACTTGCATGCTATCTTTCAGAAAGGATGCTGAGATAGCCTTCTGCTTCCCAAGGCTTTGATGAAGAATAGTGTTCATCCAGGCCTCTCTGCCTCCATGTGTGAAACATGGCATTTTCCTATCTGATTTTTTTCTTGTCTCTCCATTGCTTCTTTTTAACACTTACATTGTGGATCTGACTGTGGCTTTCTTTGAGAGTAACGAATGCCAACCAAATGAACATGGGTGCGGAGCCATCTGGTGAAATGTGGGCAACCTATTACAGGTCACACTCTGGAAGAAAAAGGGCTCTTCTCCCAGGGGACTTCCCAGCCTCAGCCCATCCATGCTGGAATGTTGGCTGGCTTCATCTTTGGGAGACAGTCAGTCTTCAGTGTAGCAGTCTGTCACGTTCAGAGGACACTATTTTGCAGCAGTCCTTCCTACCTGTAGAATCTTACAAGTCCTCTGGCTCTTACAGTCTGCTTCCTCCTCTTGGATGTTTTCTGAGCCTTGTGGGGCAGGGTATTATACAGATGTCCTATTTATGGCTGGGCGATCTACAGTCACTTATTCTCTGGTCTTTGACAAACTGTTAATCTCTGCAATTGCCTGCCATCCACTGCATAAACAGCTGCTCTGTTGAGACGTGACAGCAGTACTAATCTATTTGTCTAAGAATAGATATTTAAAAGCAGTTTGATGCTATATCCATTCATTAAAATAATAACAGTAGTTTCTTCCCTGGGCCAATGACCTCCCCAGTCACAGATCTACCATATTATCCTGTAAGCTCATTTTCCCCCTACCAATGGCCCCTTTCTAGTTTCCTGGCTTTAAGCTTATTTTAAGTTAGACACACAAACCCAAAGATGCAAAACTAGGATCCACTTATGAGTAAGCACAGGTGCCATTTGCCTTTCTAGACTGGGTCATTCCTCTCAGCTCCATCCGTTTACTGGAGTCATTTATTTTTCTCGTACTTTAGAAGTTTTCAAAATGATTGAAATGTAGTTAAAATAATTTTTTTTTTGAGACAGGGACTTATGTCATCTTAGCTAGCCTGAAGTTTTCTGTGTAGACCAGGCTGGCCTCAAACTCACAGACATCCCCCTGTCTTTTTCCCTAGCTTGCAGGGATCAAAGGCATGCACCACCATTCCCGGCTTTGTAGTCAGTT